ACAATGTGAGCTCTACTCTGTGGTAATAGAGCCACATGAACTCTGGGCAACTCTAAACATATTTGAGGGTTGTGAAGACAGCAGGAGTCTCCTGTAAAGTTGTCTGCAGGGGCTATAAATGATAATTTCCAAATCATAGCTCAAATTGACTCAAGTGACTATTGAGGTCACTGTAAGAACAAGTCTGTCTTGACTTTGAATCAATCTGAGTAGGGCATAGGCAGGGTGCCTCTCTCCTTTCTGTGGTGCTATCTTGGGTTTTCACGCTTCACAGGGACTATCCCACTTCCTGCTACTCTCCAGTGTACTTCCTCAGTCACTCCAGCTGGAATATTGTCATTTACTCTTTGTTGTGGTCCCTTTTTGTAGGAAGGATGAATGACAGGCAGTCCTGTTCTATCTTGCTGATGTCCTTCATATTTTCAGCTTTTGATGATTATGAATAAAGTTTTGATAAACATTCATGTACAAGTTTTTGTGAGAATATGTATTTTTTAATATTTCCTGGATAAATATCTAGGCATGGGATTGCTATTATATAATAAATGCACCTTTTACTTTATAAGAAAGTATCATCTTTGCTATTAAAAATGATCTTACAGATTTTCCTCTGTTTTATCCTTATTTGTATCTACTTTTAGCTGTGTTCCATATCGTTGCTGCAGAAATACTTGGCATAAAATGTGGCTTAACTCCAAGGGTGAAAAATAAGCAAGGAGAAGTCTCCTCAATGCAGAGTCATGAAAGGGCAATTTCAAAGAAATGGAGTATTATATGAAAAGCAGAGTAGAGTGTTGGAATCAGTAGTCTATCATTTTAGCTTGCTGTGTAGCCTTTTATTGGATAAACACTTTACATCTATGAACATCAGTTATTGTATCTTCAAACTGTGAGTGATACAACTACCTACGGTGCAGGGTTGCAGCAAAGACTAAAGGGGATGATGGAAAGTAAGTGTTCGGCATGTAATAAGTGCTGTTCTTGACATTAGATTTAAAACTCTGCTAACAGCAAAAAGCTACTTTCTAGAAAACAAATCATGTACACTATTTTTTATTTTATTTTTTAAAATTTTTTATTGTTGGTTGTTCAAAACATTACATAGTTCTTGATATATCATATTTCACACTTTGATTCAAGTGGGTTATGAACTCCCATTTTTACCCCGTATACAGATTGCAGAATCACATCAGTTACACATCCATTGATTTACATATTGCCATACTAGTGTCTGTTGTATTCTGCTGCCTTTCCTATCCTCTACTATCCCCCTCATGTACACTATTGATGTTTTAGTTTTCATTAGGAATTAATGTGTTTTGCCCAGCATTATATATGTCACCCAGAGATAAATGAGTTTTTTTTTTGGACCAGGTATTGATGCCAGGGCATTTAACCTCTAAGCCACATCTGCAGACCATTTTTACATTTTATTTAGAGATAGGGTCTCACTGAGTTGTTTAGGTCCTCTTTAAGTTGCTGAGGCTGGCATTGATCCTCCTGCCTCAGCCTCCAGGGCCACTGGGGTTACAGGTGTGCGGCCCCACACTTGGTCCTAAATGAGTTTCTTTTGGTTGTAGTGTCTATGATGTGTGAGATTTACAAATAATGTTACTCTATACTTTAGTACATGTTATAATTATGTATTTAATTAAGTTCATATCTTTTATATGTCACCAAGAAAGGCTACTATCACATAATTTATAATGATAACATGTATTATAGTTTATGTAATGTGATTTCCCTGAGCCAGGACTCATTTAAACTAAATAACATTTGAAAGATTGATGTTTCTATAGCTCCACTTAAGATACTCTTAATAAAAAACATTGACAAGTTTTAAACTTTGTTATTTTAAGACTGTTTTTACTCAGTTTACTGGTAGGTATTTAAAAACTGATTAAAATGTTAGTTATTTAGGTCATACTGACATCTGCTGGTAAGAAAGTAAATTTCATAAAAATTGTGTTTTCTTCAAAACTTGTATTTGCATTCTGGGTTTAACAAATTAGGGACTATAAATGATAATTTCCAAATCATAGCTCAAATTGATTCAAGTGGCTTGAATCCAACTCTCTTTGGATTCCTCATAATGGCCAGTAGCATCCTTTAAATAGAAGCTTAAAGTCATAAAATAACTTTTAAATCGTAACCTCTTCCAGTATGTTGTCATTATGTTTTTTGGTCCTAAAACACTACAAATAGTGGAGTTTAATTTGGAACTCACCTTCAGAAAGTGCTCCTGGGGATACAGGCTTAGGTTGTGGAGGGGTGGCAGCCAGCTCCAACAGAGCTACGCTCAAGGGTAACATTTTTTGCCAGGAAGCATAATGTGGCTATTTTAAAATCTACTAATTCAATACTCTGATTTAGGGTCATGGGATTTTGCAATTGATCAAAAAAATATACTGATCATTAATGTGTCCCTCTTTTTTGTAGATGTGGAAATTGAGACCCAGACAAATTTAAATAGTTTGGTCACCTAGCTGACATTAGAAATTTTCCTGATTTTCCCTTTCCAGTCTTTCCTTATATAAGTTGTCTTCACTAGCTATCTGTTGCTTATATTTATTACTTAAGCAAAAAATGTACACAAATTGCTTAAGAGTTTACATTTAGCTTATTTCCAATCAATGATTCTGACTTTCTTTAACTAGAGACATATTATTAAAATATACAGTGTATTATATAATATTATTCTCTAGGGTTTCAGAAATATGTATGTATTCATATGACCTTCCCAGAAATCAGGGTGCATTGTTTATTTCTTCAGATGTGAAAATACAAAGAGGCATGTGGATTAGAGAAAAAAAAGTCAGAAATAATTCTGTGAGTGATACAACTACCTACGGTGTGTGTGTGTGTGTGTGTGTGTGTGTATCTCCAGAACAATGGAACAAGATATACTCTTCCAGAGCCAGTCCCCAGCGACTCGCTCCCTCCACCCCTCCAATTGGACTCCTACAGTTTCCATCACTTCCAAAGAGTCCAATTATAAACCATCAATTGATTAATCCATTGATGAAGTCAGAGCCCTCATGATCCACTCACTTCCCCAAATCCCCACCTCTGAACACTCCTGTACTGGGGACCAAGACTTCATCATATAAGCCTTTGGGGGGACATTCCAGATCCAACCCAAAATGATTGGAGTCACAGAATCATGTACCAGATGTCTTATCAGTAATATAAACACATCCCCCCCTTAATTTTCTGTTCCAATAGAGATTTTAAAACTTTGTGAATGACACTTGCATTGTGAGAAAGTGTCAGGTAGATACATAAATCAAATATTTTGTAATATAATGCCAAGCATTTTTTTTATTCCTTTAACAGCAGACCTGCTAACATGTGGTGAGGCAGCATCCCTGGCCTCTACTCACTAGGTGCCAGTAGCATCCCCCAGTTGTAAGAACCAAAAATGTTTACAAACATTGTCAGATAATCTTTGGGGGAACAAAATCAGCCCAGTTGAGAACTACTGCTATAAAGTATGGCTTCTTTCTTCAGAATTTGTTTTTAAAACTACTTTAAGATTCTGACCAGGAGTTTGATTCTTTTGCTTTTCAAATAAAAGAAATAGAGTCATCTCCAGATTAGATATTTGCTTCATTTAAATATCCCTCTGTGCCTTGGCTTCAGAGGGTTCCTTAATTTTTTTTTCAATATTTATAAAATATTCATTTTTATTTCTTTTCATGCTCTAATTTTAGTTTGACACAGCTATACTTCAAAATAAAAAAAATAATTTGAACTCTTGGCAAAATTGCTTTTTTTCTATGACAACTTTTAAAAAACTATTTTGATTTTCTTGACACTGTAAAGTTCTTTACATGTTATATTCTTTGAAAACTAAAGCAACCTGCAGTTTTAGGACGGGTATTTCATCCTTATTCTGCATATAAGAAAATTAAGTGGAATTAGGACTCAGTATATGTTCATGGTGTATCCAATGTTCTTTTTGTTTTGCCCATGTTAAGTACATTTAAAGAAACTATTTGGGTTTTACATTGAGGGGCCTTCATGAAAAGGGAAAACAGGAAATGGAAGTATGAAGGAGGGATTAAAAAATAGGGAAAAGAGAGAACAAAGTTGGGAGGCCCCTAGTGATAAATGAACAAAAAAACTGGTATGGGATAGAGAATAATCTAATCTTACCATTTAAGTCAGCCCCTTCAAATTCCTCCTCTATTCACAGTATTGCCTTCCCTCCCTTTATACCCCTCAAATTCATGTACTGGTACATGCACAATTAGAGACTGTCCCTCTCCCAAACAATTTATTCACTCTTGACCATGGGGTCAAAGCTGGGGTCTTTTCAAGGGAAAAAATATGAGCAACTTTCTGTTGCTTCCAAATGGTTAACTGTAGGGACCAGGAAAGGATCAGATCTGCCCCTGCTCTAAACCTTGGAGTAGCATTTCTGAAAGCACTTCAAAAACTGCCTGAAGCTTATACTGTCTTCAAACCTTCCCTTTGACAGCATTCTATGAATGAGAAGTCTTCCAAATCCTGCAGCAAAGTGTTTTGCATGTTAACAAATAAAATTTAAGAGTGCACAAAGTTGGGAAGATTGATGGGAAGCAAATGCTCTAGATGTGATATTAAGTGTTGCGCTGCTTAGCCTGAGTCTCTCTCTCCTGGATCATGTGGGGCAAGAGTAGGAGCAGTTCAGGGAAAGATGGTGTTAGTAGAAGTCTAGCCACAAAATAGGACTCTTTGTAATATCTACTGGGCTGCACTTTGATTTCATATTTCCCTTATTGATGGGAACATGGTCTAATTAACATGGTCTAATTAACTTATGTTATGCTTAAGGCAAGTTTAAAAACACAAAATGGGAAATAAAATCTGAGAATATTTTCCTAATGGGAAATTTTCTCATAGAGTAGGTAGCTGATATTTCTCCTTCATCCTTAGCAATATAACACAATATAAAGAAGTTTACAAAAACACCAGCCACAAAACCATGAATCTGCTTAATTAACATACAACACATGGAGAGTTAAAGTTTATTTTATTTGTCTGAGAGTGGAATACCAGAAGGCAAAAAAGTACTTTCAGGGTTGGGGAAAGCAACTTTTTAACCTGACCACATTAAGACATGTACATACTCTAGTGTAACAAACAAACAAACAATAAAAAACCCAAAATATAATGAACTAACTGCACAATGGCATCAATGTTGGCACATTAACATGATTATTTCACTATACTTGAAACTTTGAGAGTATACAGGCACTGTGTAAAGAGACGAAGGTGGAGGGAGAGAAGGACGGTGAGGAGGAGGAGGAAGAAAAAGTGATGGAGGTCTAATTAAGTACCCCTTGTCAGCAATTAACACAGACTGGGTGGGACACAGACACTGATAAACAGCACAGTGGGCAAACTTAACAATGAACTGATGTGGACTTCCTAGAGAATTTCTGCTATGACTCAGTACTTATTTTTTTTTCTTGTATCTGTGTAATTGAAATTTCACCATGATAAATAGTGTCTTGGATCTTATTCAAAGAAAAAAAAAAAAAAAGGAAACAAGTTCTGAATGCAAGCATTTGTGTGTAATACACACAGCTGTTTAGTATCCATGAGATAACCTATTCTTTAATAATAAAGATCTTTTGATATTGATTTTCACTTCTGCTAGTTTCTACTTACTCATTCTTCCAGAAGTTATTTTACACATTTTCTTAAACATACTCCATGTAAAATATAAGAATTAATATACATTCTCCAAGTCATATTCAGTCACAAAATACAGTAACACATTTACTCCTTGCTGCATTTAAGTTGCATATAAGAAACACAGGCTGCATTTTTGGGTGATCCATGCAGTAGACTCACAAAAATCAAGCAAACAACTAGACATCTTTTAGCTACTAAAACTTATGCTCCCAGTCACAACAGACTTAGCAATAAAAACAAACAGCACCTAACTTTGCATCCAAACCATGCTGGGCAGAGCTAACTCTGGTTGGAAGGGTCATAGGGAAGCACTGGTAGTCACGTCTTCTCCTTGTTTTCACATGAGATTGAAACTTCTCTTCTCACATGGCTTTTCCCTATACCGCAGGCTTTTGCTAAAGAGGCATTGCAGGCTTCAAATTAAAACAATCAACCTTAGTGAAAAAGCTGAGAAATGCCTTTCTTGACTTTCCAATTCTGGAAACAGCTTGCTATAGGTCATTAAGGCGAATGCCAGGAATCAAAGCAATTGTAAAACAGTCTCGAGATGTAAACAATAAAATTGTCAACCAAGGCATTATAACCTTAGGTGAAAATTCTTCATGAGAAGACCTATGTGGATGAGACTAGCTTCTTGGTTTTTGAAGTTAATGTGAATTTTACATCCTAGAAGTGCTGCATATTCTTTTTCTACTGTAGAGACTTCTGGAATAGATAAAAGTTCATGTTGCTGCTTAAGAACAAAAATACATAGCATGGAGAAGCTACTCAAATACCAAGCAGTTTTCAGGTTTGTTTTTGTTTTACTTTCACATTTTACTTTTATGATTGGCATATGGAAAACCAAACTGGGAAATCATAATGTTGGAGTATTTTAAGGGCATGCTATCATAGATATTAACAAGCTTATTAATACAATAAGACCTCTGCAGAAAGTGTTCAGCTCGATGCCACATTCCAGAATAGCCACCATTGGTTTCTTTTTCCAAATTGCCCATGTTTACAGGTTTCACAAATATTCCTGAAGTCTTCCCAATGTGCTTGGCAATGATAAAATTCATGGCAATATCATCACAGTTTTGAGTTTCATCTATCAAAGCATGGACAGTTGCAGGTTGTCTCTGAAAGAGTTCAAGATATTTGCTATTGAAGAATGAGGCTCCGATCAGCACCATGGAGTACTGGTCACCATTTCCAAACCCTGGTGTTTGTAGTTCAAAACCTCCATAACTATAGATACCCGATAAAGTAGAGACATGCTTTCTAGGAACAAATCCTACAATTTGATCAGGGAATTGCTGAAAAGAGGGAAAAGAATAATTAAGTATGACATTTATTTAGAGCAGACATAGTGAAAAAGACTATTTATTATGAAAGATTGAAACTGATTAGTCAACTTTTCCTTATTACACACACACACACACACACACACACACACACACACACACACATATATATCTTAATTTCATCTAACTCCGGGTAACTTCATAAATCTGTATCCTAATAAGGTAACAGGTCAAATTCCATCACACCCCAAATCTCTCTGGAAAAAAAATTCTAACCCCGACAAATATTCTAACATTATCTGATCTTAACAAATTCTAGTCACCAATGACTCTAGTCCTTCCAAGTTGCTGCAAGAAAAGTTGATTGCAGGAAGGCTATTTATTGTAGGAGACAAGATACAATATAACAATTTTCAAAAAATGTTATAATCTCTTAGGAATATATAAAATTGTGATCTATATGTATGATTTTACTGTTTTTCCATGTTGATTTTAATGTTCTTGAAAGTCACTGTTGATTTTAACCAATGTTATATTTTATCCTTTCTCAGCTTGGGTATTTCTTTATTCAAAATATGTAAATTATACATGAATATATAAATGACAGATGTATTAAGATCTTTGAAGAAAAAAACAAATGGCAGCAAAACACTTCATACAATTAAGGTGAGAGTGAAAAAGATAAAATGAAAATCAACAAAAGAAAAACACTGAAGCATAGGAAAGAGGCAAGAACTTATGGGATTGAAAGATTTAGTTCACTCCTATAAAATATCAAGAGTTTCATTCACTTGTTGAATGAACACAAATCAGGCTGAGTTAAATATCATTCCAAAGAACACACAGTCTAGGGAGGGGACATTACAGATATGTGAACAAGGAATTACAATGATGTGAACCATCTGCAAATGCAGCTGGGTAAATCTGAGGGGAGTATGGAGGAGAGAGTAACAACTGTGTTGCTGGAGGCAAAACAGAAGGTCAGGGGATAGGGGATAAAGGCCGGGAAGCTTCAGAGAAGTGCCATCTATACAATCTATACAATGAAAGAAATTTCAGATGGCCAGAGAAGGAAAAGAGACCACCTTAAATGGAGGTACTCAGATGAACATCTACTTGATCCTGCTTGCCTCTGGACCTCAAATTGTAACATATGCAGGGCACCAATATGACTCACTGCATGGAGCAATGCACAGTGGATTGAAACTGTTTTTACTAATAATACCTAAAATCATATTTATCTCCTCTTTATTTATTGTTCTGTTAGATTGTTGTATTTAATCACAGTCTTTGTATTCTGCCTGCCCCTATCTTAACATGTTGGGTAAACTGATTTTTTTTAACCTGAAATAGAAATCTCACAGCATTACATTAGAACTTTTTGCCTAGAAACCTTTATTTACAGGGCTGAAAAAATTGCTGATATGATACTACACTACACATGAAGTTAAAAACTGCAGCTTTTAGAAGACTGATATCTACAGAGTACTAAGACACTCACCACTAATATCTAATATTATATGCCAAGTAGCTAATGGAAGTAGGTAACTATGGCACAAATTAGACCAAATTATTGGGTAGCACAGTGTTTTATCACTTTACAGGTGTTCTGGGTTTAGGTAACTGTGGTGTGACTTATAAAAGTCAACAATTATGATTACATATTTAATAGGAGAACAAGTGAGCAATTTATGTCTACTTATTCAAGCTAGGATTTAGGAAAAAAACAAAACAAATGAAACCCTACCATGGTACATGCCAAGTTATCACTGCACAATTTCTAAACAATGGTCGCAGAACCATTTGTATGAGACCATTTTTTATTATGTATCCATTATGTCAGGAAAGTCTACACCTAGAGCCCAGGCTGTTGTTCAGAGTTAAATTATTTCATTAAATTAAATTATTGTTGATGCAATAAATGCTTTCTGTTTCAAAAAGTTAAATATAATATTAATACAGAAATATAGTTCTCATTTGAGACACATGTCCGTGGCTTATGGAAACATATATCTGCATTCTAGCCTTTATTGCACCAGATTATTTCCTCATTGTTCTCTGGAAGGTAATTGCAGTTCTTTTTCCTAATATTCCAAAATATAAATTAAGTATACATAAAAGATACTATAACTTCCAGGTTGGCTTAACTAAGGTCATAAATCTTGACAAGCCCACAACAATTTTATCTCTTTTAGATAAGTACCATCTACATTGTTTTCAGTAGACCCCACATTAAACAACGTTGCCCTGGTTAAGCACTAGATAAAACCATATACATGTTTCATAAAGGATACAGCATCATTACCTGCCAAACTGAGAAAGCAAAAACAAGGTCCTGGGCACTGATGAGTGTGTCATCGTCTATCATTAATACCGCTGAAATGAAATGAAAAAAAATTATATTGAACAGTTTGGAAATAAAATAAAAGTATTAAGATATAGTTGTATCTATGTAGATAATTTGAATGAAGTATTTTCTGACTCAATTAGTAAACAAGAAATGTAATCTTGGAGCAATATGTCTAGTAGAAAAAAGCTATTTGAATTATACCTGATTTTATAACTGCCTGAAAGGAAAATTGTCATGTAATTATCATCCGTCATGCTAGAAACTAATGAATCTATAAATAAATAAAGCCAAGGTTCTTTTAAGCAAATTAAAACCTCATGCAGCTGTTACAAATGTGAGGAGAGTGACAAAATTATATTTAGCATAAGCTTAATGGCCTCTGACTGCATTCTGTAATACAATGATATATATGATAGCATATCTTATTTATTTATTTAACAATATTAACCTCTTTTTTATTGTTGTAAGATGAAGATGTACATGCTGTCCTCCCCAGGAAACTTCTTGAGACCTTGGAAACTGCTCATTAAGCTTTTCAGGGTGGTTTCTTATAATAAATTCCTCCATTTTTCTCCAGACCATTAAGATAGGCAGGAAGTCAGAAATCCACACCCCTAGCCCTGGTTAACTGCAACTCTTACAGGCTCAGAAGCCAGCTTCAACTTACCATTGGTTTCGACCTCAGGAAAGGCCTGGAGTCGATTTCTCATTCTGTTTGTGGTTTGTAGTTTGAAGATCACAGGAACAGGGTGAGGTCCAAGAGAATTCCATAACTCATCTGGTCCCTTCTCCCCAACATTGTTCCACACCACAATTATTTTGTGCAGATGCGGCACTGCCTGATAGTGGTTTAGAAGTCTCAATAAGAGATCCGTTCTATTGTACGTCTGCATGATGAGAGTGAAAGAATCCAGGGTGGACTTTCCCTGGGATTTTACTTCCCTACGCAAAGTGAGCATCTTGTCTTCTTTGACATTGGGAAGTAAATTGGTTAAAGCCCCGGCTACCAATAGTAGCACAAGGATGATCACCAAAGAAAAACGAAGCACCCGAATCCCCATTACTCGCCCAGGAAGTTTGCAGAGATGGCAACACCTGGAGTAGAAATGGGAATAAAATAGAGAATGTCAGCATTCTTGCCGGTCACCATGTTTTTTATATATTTTTTCAATGATGAGAGGGTCAAACTTATATTGGCTGATTCAAGTTCAGTTCTCCTTTACTCTACAATAATTAAGTTAGCCTGTGAGATAAAAAATACAGTCTAATATTCTTTTCCTTTTGGTCTTGCTTTTTTTTTGGTAGTTGTAGACAAAAATCATATATGCCTCAAATAATAACTGGGCATTTAAATTTTTTTCCTAACAATCTAGATCTGAAATTATTTTTAAAAGAGATTGTATTTCCTCCAGTAATTCAATCATTTTAAACTTGTATTTTGGCAACAGATTTTTTTTTCAAATAAAATGATATATGGAACATACTTAAAGCAGAAGATAATGGTGATAGCAGCAGCAAACAATTACAGAGGGTTTATTCCTTATCAGGTCCTGTATATCAAGAATGTGCTTCATATGCCATAGTATGTATTTATTCAACAAAATAGATACTGAGCACTCACCCTGTGTAAGGAATGTTCTAGATTCTGTGGATATAGCAATGAATAAGACAAGGTGTCTGCTCTCAGTAGCAGAGGAGATAGCAGGGAGAGACAGGTAGACAAATTCAAAAGATAATTTAGGATAGTGGTAATGAAGAAAGTTATAAACCAGAGGGATATGATAAGCAAGGGCCAGGTTATGTGGGGTCTTGTCAGCCTTAATAATGTATATGGATTTTCTCCTGAGTGAGGAGAAAATCACTCAATGGGAAGCAACTGGAGGATTTTGATCAGGAGACTCATGGAATCTGATTTATTTTTGCTTCTTCTTCTTCTTATAGTTTAGATTTTTATAGAGATCGATTAAATAACTTTCCCCAAATAACACGGCACTGCCTGATAGTGGTTTAGAAGTCTCAATAAGAGATCCGTTCTATTGTATGTCTGCATGATGAGAGTGAAAGAATCCAAAGTGGATTTTCCCTGGGATTTAGGTAGCAGAGCTAGTAGTTATGTCAGGAAAATTGACACCTAGAGCCCAGGCTGTTGTTCATTATATGGGCTACGGTGTCCTGTCTCCATTCAAATTCAGGCTTCCTGAGCATCTTGTCTTGCGATACAGAGCACAGGTGTTATATACCCAGCTATGCATTCTTTCTATCTTCCTCCAGATACTTAAAGGACTTAAAGAGGTAGCCACAGAAGAGCAGTGAACAAAGGTAAGTGGGGCTTATTTACTTCATTAGTTAAATTTTTTTACCTAATCAGATATCTCAGTTATATATATGATAAAAGTCTAAATCTCACAGACAATTTTACAAAGATCCAGAACTGATTTCCTGGTTTTCATACAATTTAATTTCTATGTTTGCTGCCTCCCATTATAACACTATTGTTGTCTTTTCAATGATTTGTTTTTTTATCCTTTTGCTATTTCCGCTTCTGACTCCAAACTATTTATTCCTCCACAAGCCTCTGTAAGCCTTTTAGGTATGTCCTTATTTTGTATTTCAGCAACGGAGTATTCATATCCATTTTAGCAATGTATGAATTTAGGTTAACATAACTACAGCCATCTTGAGTTGTAACTATCATGATTTCCCCTGAATAGCCCTAGTCAGTTTTTCCTGCACAGTTTCCCAACAAACCATAAACAAAACCCTTAGAGTACTAGGTGGAACTTTACAAAGGGACCTGGCTCCAGGATGAGCCTGACTCTTTGATGTTAACCAAAGATAAACCAAGTACATTCCAGCTAGGATGAAACTACTTTTGTACTAACCCATATATACACCCCCAATTCTGATCCAAATTGAAGGGCTCCAACTGGTCTTGCTTCTACCGAAGACCACACTTCTGTCCTAAGTCTCCCAATAAACTGTGCTCTCTGCAATCTTGGATCTGCCTGCCTCTTTTAACTTTGGTCCCATGGTAGCTGGTCCTTATACACTAGGACTCACAGATCTATTCTACTACTCTGTGCAAGAACAAAATCAAGAAGTGAGAAAAATGAATAATTCAAAAATTTTTATTTATGAAAAGACTGAAACCATAAATCAATGAGGAGTTTCTAATCAACATTTTAAAAATATCTTTAAGAAAAAAAAATGGGTTTATTAAAATCAGAAGGCATGAGATATATATTATTCTTAATGACTTTGATCCAAGGTCTATCCCTTTTTGCTCCTTTTGGAAACATTTTTCTTCTTAGGCTATGCTGTAGACAGATATCTCATTTATTTACCGACAAAGATGATGAAGCTGAAAACAACTTCTCACTGCTAACCCATGCTGATGGCACAGAGCTACTGTTACTGTTCTCCCTGGCATAACACTGCCTCTGTACATCTTATTTTTGGTTCTCTCCATCTTCTTGGAAAAGCACACTATGTATACATGCACAGAAATATCTAAGCTCTTGATTTCACATCTCGTGGTGAAGTTATGCAATTGCCTCTAGGCCACGATGCCACAGGCAATCCTAAGAATAGTCAACATCTCTCTGTCTAATTGAGTATTATATCCAACTAAATTTTACTTTACTTTCCAAACAATGCCCAATTAACCTTCTGTTTTTCCCTAAGGAGACTGTGTAGTGGTTGAGTTAATGTGGCCATCATATTCCATGATCCTGTTTCATGTTGTACGTTCTTTTGTAACTGTACAAAATTTTCTCTATTGTTGAAGGACAAGACCACACAGGCCAAGCCTTTACCATCTCCCTTTGAAGTTTATGAGAAGAAAGAATTCTCAACATAACAATGTCTTCATGATGTGACAGTATGCTAGGGCATGAGCAAACAAAGGCAGGGCTTATTCACAAGCACAAGGCAATAGTCATTGTCCTAGCAGCTCTCACTTTTTAACAGTTGAGAATGAAAAAGCAATGCTACCTTTATAGTAACTTTTAGAGGTATTCTCTCCTGGACTTTTTCTGTAGTTTGTTCTATTAAGAAAAGCAATGTCTGTGTTTCCTTTCCTCTCACGGTCTCACTCTATTATATGAACTAAAAAAATTATTTCTGAAGTAAACTCGGCTTTACTGTGATTATTTTTCAAGGACATTAATTTAAGGCTTTAGAGTACAAAATTTTCATCTTATATACCCTTTTACTAAAACAACACTTATTGTTAATATAGTCATTCGAAGACAAACCATATGAATTAATAATCTTGATTCAAGGGCCTTTAAAACTTTTTAAATACTGAATCAAAAGCAGGTCCATAAAACATTTTCAGTACTACATAAGAATGGCCAGATATAAATGCTTGGGGAAAGAACCACTTTGATAACTGCAGTGAAGTGTATCTAAAACAAGATCTTCTTTCACTTTCTGCATACAGAAGTGTCTAGTCTCTAATGTAGACATTGGTAGTTTACTATCTGGCAATTTAGAAGAGAAAAAGTAATAAAAATTAATTGTTAAAGACTATTGTAAATATACAATGTCAAAGCCACTCAAGGGATTACTTCACATTTAGTTACAATTTTAAGTAGGAATTTTGTGGGAGGCAACATAGTACATGACCAGCATTTGTCTCCTCTTCTGATTGGTGTGGCATTGTCTGCCACCTTGTGATCTGGTTGCCTAGGTAACCCAGACTAAAGCCCAGATCTTTAGGCATGGGTATGCCTTCCTACATCCCTGTGGGTAGAGCTACACTCACCTGTTCCTTTGTGATACTACCCCTTGCCCTGTTTAGGATAGAATGTTCCATGGAAATACCCTTTGTGTGTTCCTTTCTCTTACTCTTCCTTTGGGTGTGGCCTTCCTAGATGTCAGTCAATCTGCTGACAGCAGACATCATGAAGTTAGACTCAGCCCCTTGAAACCTGATCCCCTTGCCTTATTTGAATAGCTTCTCCTCAATAAAAGGGGTCAGCACTTGAGGACTCTCTCTCTCTCTCTCTCTCTCTCTGCAGACCCCTAAGGTTAGAAGAGCCGTCACAGCACCCTCAAATAAAAAGGTATTTCTGTCTCTTGTGTGGTTATTTTGCGCAGCCCAGTTCCCCTGGAGTGACCCTGAGTGTTTTAGTGGAGTGCAACGTGACAGATGGTGTCCCTGGGTGGGCAAAAGGTCTGAGTGTTTAAGTTGCTAGGAACACAACAAAGTTTGTTCCTTTTACCCACTCTAGAAAATTTCTCTCTCAGAGAACTTTTAATCCCCTACTTTACCTCAATCAGAAAGGTTTCAGAAGATATTAACAACTTATATTTTTAGAAACACTGCAAATATTTCATTTTGCCTTAAATAATGCAGCCTAATAAAATTATATGAACTTTTTAGTTTGTATGGAAAAGCAAGAGAGAACTTTACAGACTGCACTGCAAGTGACACACTGCAGTAGGCTGATGTCTAGCTGCTACTGTAAGCACATTAGAAGCAGCTTTAATATAGTTTGGAAAGTAGTAATGACTTTATGGCTATACGGACCTCATAGTTTATAGCCTTCTTCTCTTCCTTTCTAGAGAAAGAACCTATCATCCCATTCAGAGGTTTGGGCTTTGAATGTGAGATATGGGAGATGGGAGACAGCATATCTGTATAACCTGTGTCTTACCTGTAAAGAACCAAGAAGAAACTGTAGGTGCCTCCCAGTTCTCTTGATCTTGATTCCTAAATATTCCTTTTTAAAATTATGTCTTTATATATTTACTGACACCCTGTCTCGTTCCAAAGAGGATTGGATAGCTCTTAGTCTATTATCTTTCTGTCCATTTCTCATCCCCATGACCACAGATTAAATATAACTTTGATAAACACTATAAATATCAGTAAAACAAAAATTTTTCTTCTATTTATTATCTGAAAAATCAAAGATCCCCTAACAATATTATTTGTACCTATATTGGTTTACTAGTCCTTTATAGGTTGAGAACAGATTCTTTTAGCTATTTTTTATGCAGTGTTATTCCAGCATCTTCCACACTAGAGGTTTTCAACCAGGGACAATTTGCCCTCCAAAGGGCATATGGAAAAGTCTGGAGGGGAG